AAGGGCCCGATACCACAGACTCCAGACTAGCTTTTGCTTCTGCTGTGCCTTTACATGTTTGCTGCTGCCATCTTTCTCTAGTATCTGGCACGGTGTGAATGAGTGTGGGGAGATCCCCACTGCCTGTAATGTAGTGTGTTTGTCTCATGGAAACAACCCATTCTTCTGGGCATTTTTCCTGTGGATTATTATGAAGGTGATTTCTTCCTAAGCTGTACTGTCTAAATGATAATAGTAATGTGAGTTTAAATAGAGTTCTGATGATTAAAAATACAAACAAAGAAGTGTCACACTGCTACAACACATGAGTTTCTATTGAGGAGTCATTTAGACTGTGGCTTAGGTTAATGATGAAGAAAATAATTGAGTCCCAGTTAGCCCAGCTAGCTTAAATTCTTTTAACCTTAATGCCGGTATGCACAGGTTTCAGAATGCGTCACAGCTGAAACAAAGCTTTGAAAATAACTTAAAGTTAGACTAAGATGTTTTCATCAAATAGCTGTGAGGTGGAAAACCCAAGAAGATAATCTAAAGTCTTAGAAAGGCACATAGTTGAATGCAGAACTCTTTAAGGTCATGGAGCAAGAACAAAGCAGCCCAATTATTTCTAGCTGATGCACTTTTCTTGCTAGGATTGGTTGATGACCAAAGGTGATAATTACTTTCTTGAACCCATTTTTGCCCTTAATCTCCTGATATAAATAACTATTGATGAATGGGTATGCACTCTAAATATTTAAAGTAGAGCTGATTGATTCTTTTTCATATATAAAAGTTTAGATTTGTGATTCCTTTATAAGATAAGTAATAAAGTAATTGGTCCTTTCTTTGTAACTGCAAAATCACAGCCTGCCAGTAAAAGACCTGACTAAGAAAAATATCTTGCTTGCCTACATGGTTAATACATAACAAGTTGCTTGGGTATCAATGTACGTGGGTTCTTGGGGATAATGTGTTTTTCACTTGTAATACGTAAAATGTTTGATCATGTAAGGGATGAGGAAAACATGCTGCTTTTTTACTGTTTGTTTTGTATTTATTGTAATCATTCACTGGAAAAACAGAATGTAACCACAGTGTAATTTTTATATTCCCTGAAAGATTTTGCTGGGGTATATAAGCCATAAGAAAAAGAATAAAGAAAGCATTAAAATTAGCTAGAAGGAAAACATCAGGAATGAGAGTTAGAAGGAAAACATCAAGAATGAGAGAAGGAAATCACCAGGAAAATAAAGAATAGAGAATGCAAAAGAAGAATTAAGGAAAAGTTCTGAAGGAAACCATCAAAAGAGAGTGTGAATGTCTTTTCCCTTAACCCCCTTAGATAGAAAAGTCTAGTATGCGTGGACACTGTGGATTCCCTTTGAGCCCTGCGCTGCTGGGAGGCTGGTCCCCCCAGATGGCAATAGAGTGTACTGGTTAAAACTTAGCAACTAAGAATCTTGAGTATTGCCCACAGAGCGGCAATGTGGAAGGAGTGTCAGCCGTCAGGGTAAGGGGCTCCAAGTGGTCCTGGAGTGACAGCATGGTGGGGTTCGGACTCCTGCAGGGCTCCGGAAGTTTGCACTGCTTTGGTTTGTTAGATGGCGAGGAACAAGCAATACAGGGGAAGTGAAGCTCCCTTCTTTCTCCCTTCCTTCTGCAGCTCCTGAAAGGAGAATGGCTTGCAGATCTGGTAACAGGAGTTATTTACCCAAAAAGGAAATGCTTTAAAGGAAGGTAAAAAGCAAGTCAAATGTTACAAGCCAATTTGGGGAAACGTCACTGTGTGAGAATGAGGTGGGTGCCAGGTGCCGGGCTCAGAGCCTAATAATGCCTCACCTTGTTACGTAATACCTAGGACTTACCCTGCACCTCCTCGGCACTTTGCGCTGCATTATAGCTCCTAGGATGGTACAGAACACACCGAGAAAAAGGGATGCAGGCAGATTCTCAAGACAAGTCTCAAGACAGCCAGAAAGAAGCAGTCTGTTAGCGTAGGGGCGGGTTATCTTTTCTCCGCGGCCTGGGATAGCGTCTCCCCATCGCCTCTTCTAGACTCTGTGATGCAGTCAGGGATGCTGTTTAGAGATTTTGACTGACATGAGATAATGATGTCAAAACGTGTTTCAGTTTGTGAGACATGGCACAAACATGATGAAACATTTCTGGGTTTTCATCCCAGAAGATTTTCAGGGGTGAAAAGTTTCAATGAATGATGGGGCTTCATTATTTTTATTTTTATTTTTTCATTATTCATTTTTTTTTAATTTTTTAAAAATTATGCATATGTATGCCTGCAGGAATATGAGTGAATCATTCACGTTCAGGAGCCCTTGGAGGGCCAGAATGGGTGCCTGATTCCCTGGAACTGAGGATACAGGCTATTGTAAGCCAACATGCAGGTTCTGGGGACGGCACTCATGTCTCCTGCAAGAGTACTCAGCACTCTTAGCTGGTGAGCCATCCCTCCAGCTCTGAGTGGTGGGACTTTAATCAGAACCCAGACCTGGAAACCTCACCTCTGCACAGTGGTGTTCCTCCACAATCTGAAATTATGACTTCTGTTTTCATTTTTC